TCGGCAGGGAGTCTGCTTCTCCCTCTCCCACTCCCCGTTTGTGTTCCCTCTCTCGCTGTGTCTTTCTCTGTCAAATAAATAAATAAAATCTTTAAAATATAACATGGGTCCATTTTATTTTCTTCATGTGTCCTGCCAGAAGTGTTCATTTCAGTTATTTGTTCAGCTTCTGTTTGCTGTGTATGTCTTGTTCAAAGCTATCCTCCGCACTCTGTCCATCATAGGGGTACTGAGAAGCCACCTAAGATGTGCTGAATAAATGGATGGATGTGGCCTCCTTGGACTCACATCCTCGAAGGGCACTCATGGATTATAGCAAGAATGATATTGCCCAGTGAAGCATTCTTGCCCACCTAGACTTCCTGGAGGCAGGCATGAGAGCTCCAGGTTGCAAGTACCAGCCCCCATCACACACACAAAGTAAGTATATGTATTCACACTCAGTCTCTTCTTCCTTACCTTACTGGCTCCTAGAAGCAACTGATCTAACCCAACCCTAGGGGCTGTGTCTATTACAACTTAGAATCCTGCCCAGCCCAAGGTCACTGGATTCATTCAGGCATTCCACAAATATTTAGTTCTAAGTGCAAGAAATACAACATGAAGGAAAGAAAAGGACCTGGCCCTCATGGAGCTGACATTCTGGAGGGGGAATGGACGTGTAAGGATACAGGGATGTTTGTAACTGCAGACCACTTGCCTTCAGCCTACCCAACCCTTCTTGTGCTCCAAGATCCCGGTCAAAGGCTACCTCCTTGGAGTGGTCTTCCTGGTATGGCAGGCTTTACCAAGCTCCTTCAATTTTGACTTTCACTTACTACTCTGAGCAACTATTAAATAAAACAACTGAGCAACTAAGAAAATAAAATAGCTCCAGACTAATTTAGACTGGGTAGGCAAGGGAGGCCTCCTGGAAGTGAGATCCGTGTTTCTTTTTCAAGGGATGCCCAAGTCAGGATTTTTACATGAAATAGCCACATTTTTAAAAGTTGGCTCAAAGTGTTTTTTGTTTGTTTTTTAAAAGAAACATACTGTAAGGCCAACAAAGAAACCTGTTGTGTTAGTTGATCTCCAGGGCCTTGTTCCACTCCAGGATGCTCTGTTGTCCTATTCTAAGCTATTCTGTACTCAGCATTACAGTTTTATTGTTATTCATCTTAAGTTCCATGAGGCCAAGAATTCTCTTTCCTATCTTTCATGTTCCCTACAGCTCAGAAACCAGAGCTGGCACTTAAATGCTTGTTGACCAATTGAAGACAGGGAGTTATTTTTTCCCAAATCTGGTATGGGGACCTGTGAAGCCATTAAACCACTATGGTAGTTTCCAGAATGTATATTTTACTCAGAAATCTACAGGGGAAAGGCTAATACTTAACCAGTAGGAAATTTAACACATTACAAATTAAGATAAATAAGAATCAGTTATGGAATGAGAAGGCAAAATGCACATGAATTTCTTCTTGTGAGCTGGCTGATAGGCAGCCTCAGACTTACTTCTTACTGGCTAGGTAACCTTGGGTAAGTTAATGAACCACCTTGAACCTCTGTTTCAGGATCTACAAACGGAGATGAGAGTAGTATAACAGACGTTATCTACTTGATGAAACTGTTAAGGATTGAGAACATTAATGTGTATGAGTGCTTAACACGGTGCCTGCCACATAAATGCTCAAAACATGTTAGCTGCCCTTGTTAAGTTCCAGGAACCTTTCTTCTCCATTTGTTAACACATCTCTGTATTTAGGAGCACTTAGTGGAAAATCTGTGGTTAGACCTGGGGCTTCAATTAAGGGTCTTAGCTCACTGCCAGGATGACCAAAAACAGAAGGCAAGGACAAGCCAAGGGGTTAAACGTCACAGAAGCAAAATGAGAAAGAGATCCTTTTCAATTAGCTGCTGCCACTTATCTTTTCCTCTAGAAGAGAATCTTCTGCTGCCTCAGTGTCTTCATCTGTACAATGGGGATGGAGCCGCCCTTTCTGCCTACAAGACCGTAATGAAAGCCTGGACATGATTGCACTTTATAAACTCAAGAGCACAATGCACTTGAATTAGTGCTTAAGAGCATGGGTTCTGGGCAATTTAAGGTGAGTGACCTTAAACAAGCAAACATCTGGCCTCCGTCTCCCATGGGACTGTAGTGAGAAGTAAGTGAAACAATGTAAAGAATTTGGGGACTAGAACATCAGAAGAGCCCAACTCCTGAGAGTTACTATTATGGTTATTAACCTGTTCATTGGACTCCTCACCCCCAAGGGTCAGGTGAAAGCCTGATATAGTGACACAAACACTAGCCCAGGAAATGGGCTCTGTAACCAGCTGGTTGACCTTGGGCAAGGGGCTGACCCTCTCCAAACTTGGGATTCCCATGGTCACAAAATGAGAACACTGCAAGACAGAATCCCTGGGCTCCTACCAGCTCTTCCACTCCGCTGTTAAGGTCGCCGGAACAAAGGCTACCCGCTCCCCAGCCTGTCCCCGAAGGGCCACAACTCAAAATTCTCGCTGCTCAAATCCCTTTGCAACGCGACAGCAGGAGCGCCCGGGTCTCCATTCCCGAGAGAAGCGTCCACACTCCGCCGCCACCGCTCGCTTCATCAGCAACTTGCTTCTGCAGCCGCTCCCTGCCCAAAGTTTCCCTGGGCGCCGGGAGACCCGGCCGCCGGTCAACCCCGGGAAGACCAGATATGAGAGCGCAGAGCCTGGGGACCCCGTTTCGGTGACCCCAAAGCCGCCTCCGCAGCCGGGCGGGGAGTGACAGGTGCGATGCGGAGCCGTGAGCGACGCGAGAGCGGGACCCGGGCGGCTCGTGTAGGCGCGCGAGGCAGGCGGCGGCCGCTCCCGCAGGACACTTGCGACGCCCCCGGCTCCGCGCTCCGGCCCCGGGACCCCCGCTCCGCTTCCGGACACGCGGCGCCGCAGAACCGCAGCGCTTAAAGGGATGGGTTCCGCGGGGCCGACCGCGCGTGCTGATTCTTCCCGCGCTAACCAGGGCTGCGGGGGGTGGGCGCACGCGCACCCGCGCGCTGCCGTAACCCCTTCCTCCCCGCGCGCCCCCGCACTCCCACCCACCCACCCACCACTCACCATCGATGTCCCCCAGGGTCAGCTCGTCGCCCAGCTCTGTGAGGGTCTCCATGGTCTCCAGACCGCCCAGCTCGCCGCTCTCGTCCATCGCCCGGCTCGGCGCGAAGGCCCCCCTACCGTCCCGCTCAGGGAGACGCGGGGGCGGTGCCGCCGCCACCGCCCATGACACCCGACAGCCTCCTCCCGGTACCGCCTCACCGGCCGGTGCCAGCTTCCGCCATGTTTGCGCCGCGCGGGAGGGGCGGGGCGGGATTCCCCCGCCCCAACCCGCGCCCCCGGCGGCCCCGCCCTCAGGCCGCGCGCCCCCTTGTTTGTTGTCAATGGGACCAGGCTCTTCGTGGCCAATCAGCGCGCGAAGCGGCGCGTGGGGTGATGGCGCGTCATCGATCAGCAGCTTGGATTTGCATATCGAGGCCCCACCCCTTGCGGGCTCTTAGCGAATGCGAAGAGAGGCCTCCGGGTCCTCAGCCCAACCTTCCTCCCCAGGCTTAAAGGCGCCGCTCCTTTTTCCGTTGGGTCGGCCTCTCCAAGCTATTCCATCCACCGGCTGGGGGTTGAAGGGTTAACACTCTCCGCCCCCGCTTGCTGGTCGCCCCCGGAGCGAGCTGTGAGCACATTACGTCATCTTCCCAGCTGCTCCCCCGCGTGGCCTGCCTGGGAGAGCGGGTAGAATCAAACCTGGCCCCCCAACACTGGGGCCCGGAGGAATCTGGATCATTCAAGTCGCGTTCCTTGCAAGCCCCTCACAAAGGCAGAAATGGAGGCTCGGCGCGGGCCGCGAACTGTCCCGAGGGCGGAGTGCATTTTACAACCTCTCCGCCTTTGCACCTGTCGCAACCACGCGCCAACTCCGACGGTCCTCACCCAGGGTACCTCAGAACAGCCTGCACTTTTTAAAAGCAATGCTAGTGCCCGAGACCACCACAGGCCTCCTGGGGTGTGTGTGACCCGGGCAGGAGCATTTTCACAGTGCCGCAATGATTCTGACGCGCATCCCGCCCGCAGATACCCACTCCTTCAAGCACCTCCTTGCCCCATCTTGCGACTGGTCACGATGTAAACAAATGTGCAGACTAATAGGAATTTATCCTATAGAATAAAAGTATGAGCGCTCGAACAAGTGCACAAATATGGAAGTTCAGAGACGTTCACCACAAAGTCCTCCGTAACTGGGACAAATTGGGAAGCCCAATAAAGGAGTGGAATGACAAATTACCATACACACAATGTGATGCCATGGCATCATTAAAGATTAGGTACATAAATGTCTGTCTATTGACAACGACTTTCACAATATATTGTTAAAAAGGGAAAGTATGTTTCCTAAGAGAGAGCACACAGGCCACATGGAGCCAGACATGGATCCACTTACGCAGTGTGACCTCCGGCTGCCTGAGTAACTGCTCTAAACCTGTTTTAAAATCTCTAAAATGCAGGGAAAATAATGCCCTCTCAGAGTTTTGAAGATTAAATGAAATCATTTGCACATTCATTTGAAGTATTTATTGAACATCTCTGACAGGCAAAAAAGAGGCAATTCCTGCCCTCTGAGCTTCCAGTAGTGAAAAGAACAGACATTAAACAAAGGTAAAAAGCAGACAACGGTACAAGTAATCAAGGGAAAGTACTGGGTGTGATGCAACTAACAAAGGAATTGAGACATTTAAGATGAAACCTAAAATTCTTAAGAATCATGTCTGGTGTTGGCAGGGGAACAGATGACATGGACAAAGGCCCTGAGGCAGGAGGAGCTGCTGCCAGCCAGCACTTGGCATAAGGCCTGACATACAGGATGTGTCCATACACGATAGCTATGGTAACTGAAAAAACAGGGATCTGTGTGTTCACATTAAGGGCTAAAAGGCTGGAAGGCCCAACAGCTGAGTGTCAGTCATGATTACGGAGTGGTTGGATTTAGGGTGAATTTTATTTTCTTCTTGGTATTTCAGTATTGTTTAAATTACTTTTTTTTTTTTTTAAGATTTTATTTATTTGAGACAGAGAGAATGAGTGACAGAGAGCATGAGAGGGAGGAGGGTCAGAGGGAGAAGCAGACTCCTTGCCGAGCAGGGAGCCCGATGCGGGACTCGATCCCGGGACTCCAGGATCATGACCTGAGCCGAAGGCAGTCGCTTAACCAACTGAGCCACCCAGGCGCCCCTAAATTACTTCTTATAATGAACATGTATAACATAAGAAAAAACAGTGACTTATTTTTTGGGGAAAAAGGACAAGAATGTTTCGTTGTTTACATGCAGACTACACCCACTAGTCTCACCCTGAAACAAAACCAAACCCTGCTGCTCTGCTTGGAACCAGGCATTGACTTGGGCAGTGCCACCTTTGACTGTGCCTCTCACAGGGCTCCCCACACTGAGGGGTGACTGCTGGCCTACCATAACTCACTTTGGTCCAGTGCTCTCCCAACCCAGAGCCTCAGTAACCCCCTGCAGAGGGCTGCCTGAGCAGCAGGTCAGGTAAGTGGGCACAGCACCTCTCACTCTGCGCTGTCCCCACAACTCCCCTCTGGACCTGCCCAGAGGCTGCGGTGCTAACGAAGTGGCCCAAGGGGGCACAAATGAAGGCTCAGTAGAAACTGCAGAAGAAAGCTAGCTGCACCACACCGAGCCTCAGCAAAACACTGGCATTCTCCCTATGGCCCTGGATCCCAACTCATTGAACATCTCTTCCAACTGGCACCTTGCCCTGGCTGGGAGAACAGAGACTGGCTCTCATGGCTGGAGCAGCCTTAGCCAAGTCACTGCTCAGGACCTGGGTTCTTCACCTGGAAAGGGAGGGACAGACAACCACATATCCAGAGATCTACCACAGATTGGGCAATTACTACAGGTCAGAGAAGTGAGCTTTGAATATGCTTTTTCATTTACTACCTTTGATGCCTCCCTTTTTAGGCCTCTGCTCACAGTGCCTGTCACCTTCTCCCCCCCCCAATCTTGTAGGATTTGTCACTTCCTCCAGGATTAGGCAAGAAGGTGTACCCCACGGTTTGACACAGAGATTAAGCTTGGCGATGGGAAACAAGTTTGCTTTTGGATAAGCTGAAACGTAAGTACTGAGGGTTATCAGTGGCAAGAGGGCAGGTGCCATTGGCTTTGGGATCTCAGAGGATGCAGCTGCCAAGAAGAAAAGAGCAGAGAGGAGAGACTAGGCTTAAAAAAAAAAAAAAGCTTCGGGGGCACCTGGGTGGCTCAGTCAGTTAAGCGTCTGCCTTAAGCTCAGGTCATGATCTCATCTCAGGGTCCTGGGATTGCCCCCCTGTCCTCCGACCCCCCCACTCCACACATGGTGGAGTGCTCAGCAGGGAGTCTGCTTCTCCCTCTGCCCATGCTCTTGTGCTCTCTCTCAAATAAATAAAATCTTAAAAAAAAAAAAATGCTTCGTTTAAGGGGCAGGTGAGGAAAGAGGAGGAATCAGGAAGAGACAGAGCTGACTCAGACTGAGGACAGAGAACCAGGACAACAAAGCAGCCCAGAAGCCTGCAAGGATCATCTCAGAGAGCTTCCAACAACATTTCTCTGGGGGCAGTGATGGGACAGGAGAGGAAGATGTGGGGCTGGGATAAGGAGGGACAAGGGCTGTGGACCAGGGAGATTTTGCCCCTGGGGTCATCTAGTAACGTCTGGAGACTGCTACGAGCATCTGGTGGGCAGAAGCTAAGAATGCTGCTGATATCCTACAACACACAGAACAGCCATCCTTATATACACAACAAAGAATTATCTGGCCCTAAATGTAAATAGTGCCACTGTTGGAAACCCCTGCCTCTGAGGATATAGGGGAGCTCCCAGACTCTCCAGGGGCGCCTCAGATTGGACTTGGAAGCTCAGCAAACAGGAACACTATCCAAGACCATGCTGAAAACACCACTGAAGACATAACTGTCACCACCACTGGGCACCCCTGGTGTTAGTCTAGTCTGGTCACTAGAACCGCCCCCATCCCCTGCCCCACTGCTACCTCTGGTCCCAGCAGCCACTACCTAGTCCTACCAGCGCAACTCCCGCACAGGCTGGTACATCTGGTTGATGGCACAGGGCTCACAGGACTGAATCCTGGCTGCAAAGAAGCTTGACAAACAAGTGCCCTCGGGCCGTTACACCTCCTGCCAAGGAAGCGGGAAGGCTCTGCCTGCAGTAAGACTTGAGACAGAGTTCCAGGAACTAGTAACCACAACAAAGGCATCAAAGGGAAGGAGAGAGAGGGGGAGAGCAGAGCAGTTCTGTTTCTTTCTTTGAAGGTGTCAGATGGGAAAATTTGGGCTCATTTGAGAATGGAGGAAGGAATCGACCAAGATGGAGAGGCTGAAGGTGTAGAAGGAAGAGCCTAGGAGGATTAGGGGAACCAGATGGGACAGAGGTGAAGATGGGTTAAGATTGGGCCCCTCTCTTTAGTTGTGCACACAGGGATGCTCAGCAAACCTAAAGGATGATAGAAGAACCATCAGAGAAGGGCATCTGTCACTGAGAAGCGGGCTCCAGCCTCAGAGAAGCAGTTTAGGACTGGGCGGAGGGTTCAGACATTATCAGATTCATTTTGTCAATGAAGCCACAGCACAGGGAAGGGCTGGGCCAGAGTCACTCAGCAAGTCTGAGGGGCTGAGACAAGACTCCCATCTCTCTTGGATTCTGTCAGTGTGGGGGGCTGCAGGGTTCTGGGCTGGTCAGATGTCTCTCCCCCCCCTTTTTTTTTTAAAGATTTTATTTATTTATTTGCGAGAGAGAGAATGAGAGACAGAGAGCATGAGAGGGAGGAGGGTCAGAGGGAGAAGCAGACTCCCTGCCGAGCAGGGAGCCTGATGCGGGATTCGATCCCGGGACTCCAGGATCATGACCTGAGCCGAAGGCAGTCGCTTAACCAACTGAGCCACCCAGGCGCCCTGTCTCTCCCCTTTTAAGACACAGACCTAGCTTGGCAAGGTCAAAGAGACTGAACTGGAATTCCCACCGGAGCCCCTCCCTCCTCTGCCTGGGAGGGACATGATTAAAGGGTAGCTGCCAATTCGGGGCCTAATTCCCTTGCAGCTTCCCTGCTCTGTGGCCCCTGGTCTCTGCCATGGGGAGCTCTCTGACCAGTCCAGCTTGGGGCAGCCCTGCCATTACAAAGCACAGCCTCTTGCAGAGCTAGAGCCTGTCCCCTGACATCGCCTACCCACAGGCCAAGGGTCTCCTGGGGTTGCCAGAGATGACACGTTGATTCTACCCTGCACCTGTTCATGGATTATCCCCAATATCTGATGGGACAGAGATCATGCTGCTCTACAGTCTTTGGCTGAACACCTTTGGACACTCCTTCACGAAGGACAGTGCTGAGAAAGGACTAGGAGACCTAAGCCAAGGCCCTGCTTCACTGCCTTGCCAGGCCCCTGGCCCATGAAAGGGCTCACAGCTCCCTGGGGCCCAAACCGGCCTCTGTTAGCCCAGAGGGTCTGCTGGCTTTTACTGTGCCTTTGCAGGGGGCTGGGACCTGTGCTGGGCAGCACAGTGCCACAGTGGGGCCAGCAGCAGGCACGGCACTTCCAGAAGTGGTTCAGAGCCCTCCTCAAGGGCGGCAGCCGGCTGGCCAGCGGTCCTAACCCAAAGGGAGAGTCCAGCCTGGGATCCTTCCAGCCTCCCCCAGCATCTCGACATGGTTTGATCTGCAGCATGGCATCCTCTGAAGACCCCCTTGGCACCCTCTCCAGGGAAGCCCCTGGAAAGAAATTCAGTCCTCTGTGGCCCAGTCACTTCTGTTAGGGCGCAGAGCCAGCTCCAGGGGGCTGAGCAAATGCCACCTCCCTGTTCACAGGGGCCAGCTCTCACCACCAGTCGATGCCTCCACCTCTTCCTCCAGAGTTGTCTCCTCCTGGCCCCTTGAGCCCTGGGCTGTTCCCGGCTATAACTCCGACTGGGATCTTGAGATCCGTGGGCCCTTTCGGATCTCTTTCCGCTTCTCCTCTTTCTTCCTGCGTTTCTCCTCCTCCTTCAAGGCCTTCTGGAAAGGGTCGGTGCTGGAAATGAACTGAGAGAAGAACAGAGCAGTCTGGTTTAGTCCGCCAGCAGTGAAGAGTTTGCTCTGAGTTAGGCTGCTGTGGGCTTGTGGCGGTGGGAAGATTGCCTAGACACAGGCCCTGCCCTCAGGGAGCCCGCAGACAAGATGGTTCAATGAACCTGGGGGAAGCTGCTTAGAGGGTCCTTAAAGATAACCAGAGCTCACCAAGCAAACAGGGTGAGGGAAGAAAAGGACATTCCAGGCAGAGGGGCACGTGCTGGAGTGTGAACCTGCATGGGGCTCCTCCTCTCAGGGTGAGGGGGCTGAATGCCCAAGACAACCATTGACACCTGCCCCCCAACCTGTGCCACACCCCTGAGGAGGGGAGGGCAGCCAGTGAGAGCAAGAGACCACAGGCATCCCGCTGCTTGCGAACAAGCCGCAGATAAGCCCAGGCAACGGAGTACACCCACAGGAAGCAGTGGGTCAGAGGTCAAACTGGCAGAACCTGAAAAAGAGGTGGAAAAGAAGATGGTAGTGCCCAGGCTCGTGGCTTCCACGGTGCATGGATGGTGGTCCTGGTGAGACAGGAACACAGGGCGAGCCAGGGTGGGAGGAGGAGGACTTCAGTGGAGGCATTCCTCAACTGCAATCCCCAGGGCTTCTGTTCTCTGCAGACTGGCTCACCTAAACCCATGGCTTCTGTTAGGAGTCAATGTCAGTTACCGCTCAAATCTGCATCTCCATATCTAAATGCCGCTAGATGTCCCAAACGAGCCCCAGACTTGGCATGGCTCCATCTCCCCAAAACCCAGTCCTCTTCCAGTGTCCCTGTCCTCGCGAACAGCAAGGCTCCACACCCCCACCTCTCTCCCTCCACACGAGTCCTTGGCCAAGGCCTGGCTCAGTGTAACTCCTAGGTCTCTCTCAAACTCATCTACTTCTCTCCGTCTCTCCTATTGCTAACCCCATCACCACCTCCACCTCCCCCCCAATGACTCTCGGGGCCTTCCAAAGCTCTTTGCACCCACTTGGGTCCCTCTCGAGCCATTCTCCTCACTGCAGTTAGTTCTTTTCAAAAATGCAAATCTGACCATGTCACACTCCTGCTTAAACCCTTCCGTGACTCTGCATTACTCTCAGGATCAAGTTCCACACGCTGCATCTGCAGGCCCCCACTGCCCACTGCTTTGCTCCTCCCTCACACTCCCCGCTTTGGGTTCTCAGATTCCCTGGTTGCTCCCACTTCCAGGCCTCCGCAAGTGCTGTGGTCCAGGCCCAGAATGCTCTTTCCAACCCCTGCCCCCTTAGCCATGTTAGTTCCACCCTCAGGGATCTGCCCTGACTCCTAGCTGGGGCTGGGGCTGGACCCTCCCTCATGATCACATGCTTCGTGCCTGTCACCCCCACTAGAGAACACTCTCTGAGGACAGGAGCACGATGTCAGGTGTCGCTCACTGTGCCATCACTCCCTAGCACAGGACCTGCCTGGCTTGTAGATGGCACTCAGTATGTATTTGGTAAATGAACGAATGAATCATGTTAGAATATGAAATGCAGTAATAGTATCCCAAACTCAGGTTAACTATGCTGTGAAATATGCCTATTTTATTTGTTCTTAGGGCAAATGTGACAAACGTTTGATCAAGGTAGACATTAAAAACAAACTAGAAGTTCTACCTTGTGGAGGAGTCTACCTACCATGTTAGATTGAACTATGAGACTGGAAGATGAGGTGAAATCAGAGAAGTGTGGCCCAAAAAGGGTAGGTGATATGCTTAAGTCACACAGCAAGTGGGAGGTACAACTGGGACTAACCCCCAGGCCTTCCACCTCCCCGGCCAGTGTCCCCCCTACCACACTCTGCCTCCTGTCCCTGAGTTAACTCTGATCCTCTTGGGAGGGATGAGCAGCTGGGAGCTGGAAGCACACCCCCACCCCGCCCCGCCCCAGGTCACAGAGGATCCCAGACCCTGTGGCTCTGGCTGGGGTAGAGCAAGTCAAAAGATCTGGGCCCTCCAACCCCAGCTGGCTCAGCCTCACCAGGGGAGCCCAAACCTGGCTCGGTCAGAAGGGAAACACTGCCTTTCCTTTTCACAGACCCCTTCCCCACAAGGCCTAACTAATACCTACTTTAAATTCCTGATGCTAACCTCAAGCGGGCCCTTCGTGTGGCCTGGCAATCCAGGTTGTCTCCCTGGCCCGCTCACTCAGCCGTTCTCCTAGACACACCTTCTCAAGCCCCCAACCCTGCTCCACTCCTTCCCCACAAACCACTGCAGAGGACAGAAGCACTCACAAGACAACTTCTACAAGCTCCCACCTCCACACCCACCACCCCAGCTGCTTCTGTGCCCAAGCTGCTCTTGGAGGCAAGGCCGACCCTTCCCCTGGGCGCCAGCAACTCTCCCCTGCCTTACTTGCTCAGGGACGAAGCTCCACAACCCTTGTGCCCCTGCACCATCAATTCTTCCTCCCTAATGCGCTGTCCCCATCAACATGCTGAATCTCTCCCACCTGATGAAAATCTCCCCCTCCAGCTATTCTCCCATTGGTCTGTTCCCCTTGAAAGGAAAGCTCTTCAAAGGTAGTCTGCACTTGCTGTGTCCACTTCCTTGCCTCTTATTCTCTTGAAATCCAATCTTTGTCCCCACTGCTCCACCAAAACAGCTTCTATTAGGATCTCTGGTGGCCATCGTCCATGTTCCTAAATCCAGTGGCCGGTTCTTAGGCCTCATGCTCCTCAGCCATCCAGCAGATTCTACAAGCCTTTCATTCCCTCTCTGCTACGCTTTCCTCACAGGGTCTCTGGAAAACGATCCTCTCCTGCATTTCTACTCTCCCACTGTCACTCGGGGACTTCTTTGCTTGTTCCTCCCCATCCTCCCTCCTCTACCTGCAGGCACATCCCAGACCTCAGCCCTCTGGTCACTGCTCTATCTGCCCTGACACTCACCTGCCCTGGGGTGATGGGACAGGACCTGTGCCGTGGCTCTCCGTACCTTCCTTCACAGGCATGACTCATATTTGCAGCCCCAGCTTCAGCCTCAAATCTAGAGTCATATTTCCAACTGCCTCCTTGACATCTTCATTCAGATGCTCACCAGGTCCAGAAACAAAGTTGTGATCTCCAATCCAGGCCTCAACCTGGTCCCACCACAGTATGCCCATTTTAGAAAATGGCAGCCCCATTCTTCCGTGTGTGCAGGCCAAAAGTCTTCTAGTCCTTCTTAATGAGTCTCTCATGCCACATCTGCTTCCTTAGCAAATCTTATTGGCTCTACCTTCTAAACAACCAGAAGCTCACCATCCTCACTGTTGTCACCCTGGTGTAAGCCGCCATGAACTCCCATATGGACAAGCACAGTAGCCTCCTCATCAGTGTCCCTGTTTCCCACCCTGGTCCCCTAAACTACCCTCCACACAACAGCCAGGCTGATCCTTTAAAGGGGTAGTCAGAGCCCATCACCCTGCTTTCCATGTGTCTCAGAGTAAATGCCAAAGCCCTGAGAAGACCCCCCCAAGGGTCTTGTGATCTGGCCTACTCTGACCTTATCTTTTCACGTCCTCCCCTCCCCCAAATATGCTTCCAACTCCAGGCCTTTGCACTTGCTGCTCCTTCAGCTTGGAATGTTCTTTCCCCAGATACACGGCTGGCTCCCTCACCTTGTTCAGGTCTTTTCAATAAGACCTTCTGTGTCGGAGTCACATGAAGTAACAATTGCACCTCCACCTTATCCCCGAATCCATCACCACATTCCCCTGCTTTTTTTCACCACCTGCCATACTGTATGTTTCTTACTATCTCCCAGGAGAGCAGGGCTAGTCTGCTTCTCTCATGGCTGGGATTTAGCAGATGCTCACTGAATGATAAATAAATGCATGTGCTATGCCTCCGAGCCTTTGTGCAACTAGTCCCTCTGCCTGGAAGGTCTTCCCCAAGATGGTCCACCAGGCGAGTCTTACTTATCCCAGAGCCTCCGCCACCCACCTGCTGAGGCAGGGTCAGGTTCCCTGTCAGGGGTTCCACGGCTCAGCACACTCACACTCCCCTCTTCCCCTGGTACAGTGATCGTGCTGGATCAGGACTGTTTCCTGCTGCCTTCCCCAACAGACTGTAAGCATATGAAGGGCAGGGAGAGGGCCAGCTCCCTCTGGACTGGGGCAGTGGCCTGCACACAGCCTGATACAAGTTTGTTCTAGTGACGGGTACGTAAGCAGTAGGAGAGGACTCCCAGAGCACTCCTGTTGTGGACAGTGCATGCGGGGAGCTGACTGAACCTGAACTACTGCTGTTGGGACAGGTCCACACGGGAGGCCAAACAGTGAGTCAAATCTTGAGACTGTCCCCAGCCAATGAGAAGTAAGGCAAGGATGTTGCTATTATGGTTATTTTCAAGCAGAACATACTAGGACAAAGCCAAACTAAATCTATCCTAGAACCCATTCTCTCTGGTGCATGCTCTCACCCTCCTCCTATGTCAGAGGCATTCATGACCTACAGGGCAAGGAGAGCCAGCGTCACAACAATGAAGCATCTCAGTGGGTGCCCCTTGCTGGGAAAGGCAATCTGCCATGGCCTTAAGTGTCCTTGCATATTCTTGCTGGGTATGCCCTGACTGCTCTTACACTGGCCATTTATCAGGGTTGCAATGGAAGCAAGCAACCTCGAGGGATGTTACGTGATGGAGTGACAGCAACCCTAGTAGGGAAACCCACATTTCCCATTCTGCTGCCTGAAGCAAAGCCCCTGGTTCAAGGGGACCCTTGATTCAGAGGTTCCCCTAAATACTCATGCCTGGTCCACTGATTGTTCACCTAAATTAAGAGCTAATGGTGCTGTCCAGAAGAGTTAACATAGCCAGACTGACTGCTATCCTTTGAAAGACCTGCTTCTAAGGTTGGATCTTGGCTGGTGTCTGGAAACTTGGATTTTGGGAGGGCTCCCACCACCCTAATCAATGAGTGGATCACTGAGCCTAAACTGCAAACAGTGTGGTTTACGCTGAACACCTGCTTTTCTCCTGGGAGTCTGGAATTCTGGTATGCACTGGGCAGAGGGTGCTTAAGTGACCAGCTCCCAGTAAAAACTCTAGGCACTGAGTCTTTAATGAGCCTCCCTGACAGACAACTTCTCACAGGTCACATCTTGTTGCTGGGGGAATGAAGTATGTTCCTGGGGGACTCCATTGGGAGAGACTCATGGAGGCTTGCACCTGGTTTCCCTCAAACTTCACCCCATGAGCCTCTTCCCTTTCCTGATTTTGCCTTGTATCCTTTCGCTGTAATAAATTACAGCCATGAGCACTATACACTCAGTCCTCATCAAACCTGGGGATGCTTTTGGGTACCCTAGACACTGGTGTTTACTGGCAGCGGCAGCCATCCAGCCCCAGTGACGATGCTGGAAGACTAACTGCCATCAAGGCCAGTAAGATAATGATCTGAATTAGAAGCCACACCACCCTTGCCTAGATAATATTCTTAACACCATGCACGTTATATTTCTACGGATTGTCATTAGCTCCTAGCCATCTGGCCTGCCCCTCAAAAGACTACAGACTGGCAGGGCGCCTGGGTGGCTCAGTTGGTTAAGCGACTGCCTTCGGCTCAGGTCATGATCCTGGAGTCCCGGGATCGAGTCCCGCATCAGGCTCCCTGCCCAGGGAGCCTGCTTCTGCCTCTGACCCTCCCCCCTCTCATGTGCTCTCTCTCTCTCATTCTCTCTGTCTCAAATAAATAAAAAAAATCTTAAAAAAAAAAAAAAAGACTATAGACTGGCAGATCAAAGACAATCATTCTTCTCTGGGGCCACAATCTATGGAAACAAACTGTGGTTGACAGTTTAACAGTCCAGGTCACTTGTTATGATGCCCATCATAAGGCCCATTCTCCGATGAGACCAACCAGAATCAAAACACTGATCGAGATGACACTGTCCAGTTAACTGGCACTGCCACCTAAATGCATCATTGTACAAGATGTGGCAACATACCTGCCACCATGGATGGGCACAGAGTAGAGGACTCCGTATTTCTGGCTTGACTACCTAGAGTCCCTGGCTGGGATGGTATGACCTGAGATCGTTAGGATAATGACCACTTGGTTGAGTATGCTCCCTCCAAGTCTCCCTACAGTGGCCCATGTGGCCCAAGATGGAAGATACAATGTGTCTCTGAATGTTTTGTAAAAATGCCCTTGTCCCATTCACATCTGACCCTTCTGGATGAAAGAAAGGTCCAGGTGAGAGTAGGGGATGATTGGAGAAAAAGTGGAATTATAGGTCCTGGGATGTGACACCCTGATTTTGTAACAATAATCTTAGTACCTGGGGAGGGAACAATTAATCCTCTGGGTCTCTCAGATCCAGCACCGCCACTTGGCAAACAATCCTAGGGTCTGCCCAAGCCAAGCGGCCGCTGCAGCTGACAATGTGATCAGCTGTGGGGTGTGTCACTCTCAACCTTGTGATAGGAAAACTCACACGGACATAGTTGGTAGTGAACTACTCTAATGTGCTTGATGCCATCAAAAGCAGCTCCCAAGGTGACCCTGTGCAGGCACACTCCGCAGTACGACCTGGTTTAATCTGACAGATACACATGCATCTGCTTCTCCTGATGCCATTATGCCAAGTAGGGCAACTGAGGCTGCAACTCCACAGGGACGTTGCCCTGAGGGCTCAGGCCAATAATATAATGGTGACTCAAATCAAGCAATAACATGTGGGAAACAGTGGGCCATGAAATGTCTCTTTACTGGGGCGCCTGGGTGGCTCAGTCAGTTAAGCAACCAACTCCTGATTTTGGCTCAGCTCTTGATCTCAGGGGTGTGAGATGGAGCCCTGAGCCCCATGTCAGGCTCCATGCTAGGCATGGAGCCTTCTTAAGATTCTTTCTCTCTCTCTCTCCCCCTCTGCCTGCCCCGCCCCCCGCCCACTAGCACATGCATGTGTGCACACTCTCTAAAAAAAAAGAAAAAAAAGAAATGTCCCTTTACTGGGGATGAGGACTGCTTTGGGTCCATCTATTGCTCCCTGTAATTATTGACAATGACATCAAAGATCAGCAGGTCAGTCTAAACTCTTGCATGGACAGTAATGGCTAACTGATTGGCCTTAGACCACGTTCTGATTATCTAATAGAAGACCTACTGGCCCGCCTAGGACTTATCATAGCTGGCTGAGTCTGCCATGCTGGAGGATTGAGATCAACACTGCAGGTTGGCTTCATCCTGCTGCTTAAGAGTCCTGTTGATGGCAGCCTTAATCAAACGGCAGTGTAAGACAAACTGAACATATTTGATCCTAGCCTCTACCTATCAGACCAATCAGACTAAACAACACATTCATGTGGAAATTTAAGTTAAGTCAAGAGGGCTGAGGGGTGAACTGTGAAGGAGGCAATCAACCACAGCCCTGAGCATCCCTGAATGTTCTCAGTGGGTACACCAAGAAAGCAAAGCCCTGATCACCTCTGTCTAGGCCATTTGTCAGGACGGCTTGCAGAAAACAACCTGGAAGGGTGACATGATGACTGCCCCCAAAGAGCAGGTTTGCTTCTGTTCACTATAAAGGCTGTGAATATCACAAACTCCGTATTCTTCAGCTTCATGCAAACCCACTGCATGCACGGCATCTGCCTGGGCCCCTCTGGGTCACCTCTGGGTGACTTGGGGAACATGGGGAACCCACATGACCAGGCCAACAGTCTAGATATTGCTTCTTTTGTAATAAACTCTGATGTCTCTGACCTGTCAGCATCCACGAAACAGTAGCAAGCTAAAATCCTAGACCCCTCACGGACCCTGACACTCCTCCCTATACCAGAGGAGAACCTGGGATTTGTCAAGTCCAGTCCTCTAGCCTTTCCTGCCCCTGCTGCCCTGCCCTGCCACTTCTGAATCCCAACCCCCCCACTGTGTGTGTCCCCATCTGTCACCCTAACCTGCAGCCTTCAGCCCTCAGAGCCCATCTCAGTCCCCTAGGATGAAAGCATATGCAGGAATGTGAGACAGAAGCCTGGCTGAGCACTCAGAGGCTCAAGGGCAGAGAAACATGGCCTGACCTCCCCGGCATCCACTTGATGTTGGATGCCTACTGTGTTCACAGCCTCTGATTGCCCCCTACAGCTGGGGTCCATACCCCATGAAAAGATAGGGAGCCTGAAGCTAAGACAGGGGCAGTGGCTTGCCCAAAGGCACCAATGAGCAAGTGATGGTATGCGCATCCAGACCCAAGCATGTCTGGCTCCAAGTCGAAAGCCCTCACGCTCCATTCATGGTGCCCCAGCCTCTATATGACCGGGCTTCCCATGACCCAGCAGAGGCAGAGTAGACATGGCCATAGGCCCCAACAGCTTACCTCTGGGCGGTCTACTTTAAATGGGTTCTGGAAGTCAGAGTCCTTCTCGCTGATCCCCAGCTCCTGGGCCATCTGTGGATGAGGAAAAGTTAGTCATCCTCTGCCTTCTCCTGACTCCTTACCCACGGCCACTCTCTCCATGGTGGGACCCAGGCCCAAGGCTTAGGCAGATGTGGAACAGGTGATGACCCCTAGGGACCCAGGTCAGCACAGACGGGATCTCAAGGTGCCCTGAGGCTTATCAGAAAACACAACCAAGGGCTGACATTCAGGCCCAATTGAAGGCAGATGCAAGGTTCATGATACACCACCAGGCAGAGGGCTCCTGAACCTCCTCTGCCCCAGTCAGTCCTTACCAGGCTAAGGATGGGCGAGTGGGGCCCCTGGTCAAACACGCCCGACTGGTTGCAGAAGCTGATGCCCCAGCGGATGAGAAGGTTCCAGTTGGAATTGTGGTCAAAGTAGTGGTGCACAATCCTCGGGAAGCGCAGCACCACATCACCGAAGAAGGCCGTGTTCTCCACTACTTGGGAGAAAGCTGGCGAGAGGATCCTGATGAGTGGCCTGGGCAGATGCCCTTCTACTGCCCGCCTGGCCAGCCCCAGCCACCCTTCAGAGAACGGAAGCCCACTAAGCCTACTAATCAGAGCAGGGAACTGTGCCCGCTCTCCACAGGTGCTGACCACGTGTGCAGTGCATGCTAATGGCTTTATGTCCATCAGATCACTGAATCCTCAAAACCACCTCGAGGGAGATGTAGCTACTATTCCCATTGTACAGATGGGAAACTGAGGCTCAGATGGCTGGTGAGTGGCAAATCTGGGCTGCAAACCCAGGTCTAACTCCAGAGGCCATGCTATATCTCATTTGTTGTGGGGACCAGAGTGGTGGGTGTCATTTTGCACACGAAGACACATGCGTCATGTGAGGCTTGGCTGGGTCTGACTTCCCCAACTTGGCCTCAAACTATCCAGAGCCAGGCCCCGTTGTTAACACAACTGCAGTGTATGTGAGGAGCAGGTCTATTAGGATGACCAGGGAACACATTAGGGTTTTGTTTTGTTTTGTTTTGAATATCTTTCCAATTTTATTTTATTTTATTTTTACTTTTTAAAAAGATTTTTATTTATTTATTTTAGAGAGCAAGAGAGAGCGTGCGCACATGAGCTCGGGGGACAGGCAGAGGGAGAAGGAGAAGCAGACTCCCCACTGAGCAGGGAGCCCGATGCAGGACTCAACCCCAGGACCCTGGGATCATGACCTGGGCCGAAGGCAAATGCTTAACCAACTGAGCCACCCAGGCACCCCTTTATTTTAAATGCTTCTTGAGATTTATAGTAAAATAACTTTAGACTTCCATCATACATCATAAAATTCCTTCACTTGGCTTTCCCTCATGTTATCATCTTACATAACTATTGTACAACTATCTAAACAAGGGAATTAACATCGATACTAATCATTAGATCTTAACTGAATTTCACCAATTTTCCTACTAATGTCCTTCCTCTAGTCAACAGATCAGTTCAGACTAAGTTAGTGTGCCCATCATGGCAGCAGGTCCCCCCCCACCTCGGCTGTCATGAAATAGAACTACATACCCAGCCCTACTGGAAGTTCCTGTTTGAGCCATCCCTGCAGATAAGGCCCAGGCACCCCTCACCAGCACTGGCCAGGCCACACAGAAAGATAAGTGGACTCCGCCAAAGATATGCCAGGTTGGGTCCAAGACAAGTGGAATAGGGACCTCTGGGTTTCAGAACAAGCTTGAACCTCAAAGAACTCAGGAGTTAGCCTGGTTTACAGGTTTGCAAGAGCAAACCACTTGTCCTCTTTTATCTGGAAAACGGAGGCAACAGTGCCTTCCTCAGAGCAGAGATTTGAGATGGTGTTTGTAAAGTACCCATCATTTAATATATAAGCACTATTTCCATCCTCTCTCAGACAGGGTAACCTAACAAATTTTATTGTTAGAATATAACCAATTAACCGGAGAGAGGGGGAATTACCACAGGAGAATGATTCTTGGAAGAGGGGATGAACGGACACACAGAACATTATCAAACTTATTTGTTCTTCCCACCTTGTCTCAGAAAGGATTTAAGGGGGTTGGGGCTTTAAAACAGTAGTAAAGAGCACTCTTAACTGCCCCCACTGGCCAGTCTCTTCAATAGAGCTCAGTTTTTTTCTCCTATAAATGGTAACAACCCTTGCCTTCTCTACCACAAGGGTCAGGATGGTAGAAAAGGCAAGAATCCCTGAGGTGGGGTCATGGGTAGAGGTTTCTCCCTGTTTCCCTTGCCCCAACCACAGTACAGTGCAAAGGAAATATCCATGTCAGGGGCCCAGAAACTGGCTCTGAAGCCCAGAAATGCCCAGAGAAATATGGATTAAGTATCCATACACCCAAGGGAACCACTTGGAAGGTGTTATAAGAGGATACTTCCGGAGAAAAAGAGAGTGAGAAGAATAGGAGGGAAGGAGCAGCTAGAGAAGATCAAGGTGGTGGGGAAGAGGAAAGGGAAGATTGGGAAGACCATACCATCCTTCAGTTTCTCGTCCTGGGGGAAGGGCCCATCTGGGAGCACATCTGCAGCAGTGAGCACTGTTCGCGAGTCCTCCAGCACCTGAGGGAACCCCACCTGGGCTGAGTGACTTTGCAGAGCCCTTCACAGATGGTCCTATTTATTTAAACCCTATTTCCAGTCTTTTGTGCATGTAGTTCCCCTCATTGAACACCAGCCCTTTAGGGAACTCCTACCCATCCGTCAGTGCCCAGATCGAAGACTGGGCCTGCCCTGAGCTGCCCCATGCCCACACGCACCTTAAAGAGCCCCTTGAGCATGACGTCAAGAATCTTGTACTGCTGGTGGACATCATTTAGGTGTGCCAGGTTTTTCAGGGCCAGCAGTTGTTCTCGCCGTTTCACCTCAAACATCTTCTTGTCTGAGCAGCATGAAGTTAAGGGGCTGGCACCCATACTCCTGCCTGGACAATCCAGTGGCCCCAGTCCAGAGGGCCCATTCCCAACCAGCAAGTATCTGCAAAGGCCATAGATGCCCATGGCTGAGACACCCCCCCTCTCCCCACACCTCCAGGGAAGAAACAGACTGAAAGGCATGGGCATCCTGCAACCTATCCTTCATCCATTTCACATAGGATTCTATATCCAACACCCTGAACACAACCCTCAGGACCTGGCTCCTGCCCTCCCCTCCCCATGGTCTTCCTGCTACTTGCTGTAACCATTCACTATTCCCAGAACCTCCACTCCTCTGCTTACACTGTACACTTCACCTGGGATGCCACCGACCCCCCTTCTCCATGAGTTTCTGTTCTTTCAAGACCCAGTTCAAAAGCCACAGCACCATGTTTCTCCCTGCCCCTCTTCCCCAACCATGGTTCATTAAAGTGCTGACTACAGAGTACAGCGTGAGGTCTGTGAGTTCCTCAAAGCCAGGGACTGACTGGTCCGAGTTTCTTCTTTGCGTCCCTAAGGTCTGGCCCAGAGCAGGTAGCCCAGTATGCCAGGGCCTGAGTCTCCACCCAGAGTCTCACCCACAAGATGCAAAGCACATGCACAATCCTCAGAGAACCTTGTGGCTCTGAGAAGTATGCCTTGTCTTCTCCATTTAACATATGGGGAAACTAAGGATCAGAAGAGAATTGACTTGATCAAGGTTTGGTTAGAGCACCTCACCTTTACCCTGTTCTCATAAGCTGGGTCTGCTCCAACCCTGGAATCCGAGGGGTTGTGGGTACAGAAAGACTGTTTATCCCCCTCAGAAACAGCTTATTAACCCCACCTCCACCCCAAAGGATACAGATCTCCAGGCTCGGGTCCAGGGAGGTCTTCAGGGTGTCTGTGACTCCTGTCCCAGACAATAGCAGGACAAAGAGGAACTGAAGAAGATCCATATCCAAGATCCTAGAGCTAGGAAAGCAACCCAGAGAGAGGTGAGATCCAGAGCTTGGTTATATAAAATAAAGAGTGCAGGTAAACAGCAACTTCCTGACATGGCATGGCCTCCAAATACCAAGAACCCAGCTTTGGGGAGCCCTGGAGCCCCAGTTTCAGCCCAGGGCCTGTGACCACCAGACACACAATGAACACTGTGGGATGGTAGGAGGGAGGAAAACAGATAATATTGGCAATATAGGGATGCTTAGTGCACAGGGGTCAGTGTCTAGAACTCTGGGCTAGAGCCCTAGCTCTGCCTCTGTCTGTGGGCCCTGGGGCAAAGTGCTCAGCTTCTCTAAGCCTCAGTTTTTTCACCTGTAAAATAGAGATAAGGAAGTCCCCTCCTTGCTGTAGGGAGAAAGAACTGGGTTAGGCATTATGCCTGGGGAAAGGGGCTGGTCATTACCATTCCCTTTCAACACACCCCATCCTGGACCCCAGGAAGGTGTCTGGTTAAGTAAGCCCAGGCAGTCGGGGGAGTTGTGAAACTTCTGCAGCTTCTCTCCCTCTCTGACTTCTGTTCTCAGAACAGAAGATGGGGCCCGCCTGGTTGGCTCAGTCAGTGGAATATGCAACTCTTGATCTTGAGGTTGTAAGTTCAAGCTCCACACTGGGTGTAGAGATTATTTAAAAATAAAATCTTAAAAAAAAAAAAGGACAGAAAAAGGGATTTGGGGCAGGAAAGGAGGAGGCACAGTCCTGGGTAAGAAGGCTGCCTGCCACTCACTCACTCTGGAACCACAGGCACCACAAACAACACCTGTTCTTATTCAAGCACCATTCCCTAATTATTTTTTAAGTACCACATTCAAGGCACTGTTTTAGACCTGGGAATACAGCAGTGTCTAAGACAAAAATCACTGCATTCATGGTACTTATGTCCCTAGTAGGTGAAACAAACAATCAATAAACTTGTAAAACAAGCACAGAAGGATGAGGGAGTTGGTGAAACACACACTGAAACACAGTGGTCAGAGGAGGCCTCACGCTCAGATGACAGCTGCCCAATTTTACCACTGTGGAAACCAAGGCGCAGAAAAGTGAGGTGATTGCCCAAAGACACTCAGCTATTCCCGGGCTAGTAAGATTCTAAATGAGTATAGGCTACCTCAAAGCTGCCACTGTACTAGCAGGACACCTGCTCCAGGGGAGAGACGCTCAGTGATTGACAGAGAGCCTGCAGAGGTCATTCAGAGAACCGCCCCGGTGCCACCCTACGAGGATGAGACAACTGAAGCTTCAAGAACGGGAAGGAGTAGTCCAAGTTCACCCAGGACCACCTGCTTTCCAACATCATGCTCTAGACTCAAGGGAACCAGACCCGGGCTAGGGCAGAACTTGAAGCCAGGGGCTATCTGACAGCCGGGAATGACCGAGGCAGGAGAGAAGTGAGAGAGGAAAACCGAAAAAGCAGATTGCGTGGAGACTGATCCTGCTTTTTCTGTTACTCCCACTTACCCTGCCTCTCAATCCCGCCCCCCGCCCGGTGCGTTCCCAGAGCCCTTCCCGGCTGGGTACGCGACTCTGAACCCATTCTGTAAGGGTGACACGGCGACGGCGGGCTGAGCCGCTACGTGGACTCGCGGACCCGGCTTGCTGCCCCGAGCCTTTGGGGCGCCCAGAGGAGAGAACGAGTCCTTCCAACGAGAAGCGTTCGGGGCCGCGAATCTCATCCCCTACCCCCAGCAGCAGGTTCGGGGGCCCTTGGTCCCTGCCCCCCAGCCCCACCAGGAGCCCGCCCTCCCGGGACCCCCGCCGCTACGTACCAGACAAGTCGGTGCGGGAAGGGGCGTGCGGATAGGACGGCGGCGCGCAGCCCGGCTCTAGAGTCCACGGGGCGAACAGCAGAGGCGCGGAACCTCACACTAGGCGCCAGGCAGCATCGCAGGAACCTCCAAGCACCGCCCCCGGCCAATGAGCGCGAGCCGCGACGGCCGCTCAGCTGACCTCACTTCCCGCCCCGCCCCCAGCGCGGCAGACCGGAGTCTAGTCCCGCCCCCCTTGTGCCGGGGCGCGATTGTCACCCTGTCACGGTCAGATTGCAGGAAGTTAAGTCTGCGGGAGTCTGGGCCCGACGCAAAGGGCGCGTCTGCGGACTGGGGCCCTGACCGAAACTTTTCATCAGCTGACAGTGTCTTTTAAACTGCAGTTGACAGGATCAGTTTGGTGGGTCACGACTAGCACTGTTTTTTTTTTCTTTTTTTTTTCTTTTTTTAAGAAATCGGCAGTGCGGGGGCGCCTGGGTGGCTCAGTCGTTAAGCGTCTGCCTTCAGCTCGGGTCATGGTCCCAGGGTCCTGGAATCGAACCCCGCATCGGGCTCCCTGCTCCGCGGGAAGCCTGCTTCTCCCTCTCCCACTCCCGCTGCTTGTGTTCCCTCTCTCGCTGTCAAATAAATAAAATCTTAAAAAAAAAAAAAGAAATCGGCAGTGCGGAGTTGGTGCATCCCCTGCTCGCCTCTCCAGTCCACCAGCTTCTAAACCTGGTTCGTCGGGGGCCTCCCTATCCGTTCATTAGGACGGAGTTCAGACCAGTTTTGTGCAGGGTCTGTACAGCCAAGCCCGAGGAGTAGGGTGGGCTGCCCAGTTACCAGCACCCAGGTGTGGGTGGGGGGGCAGGGGGCTCTGGAGGCGGACAGGGAGCCAGAGGCGTAGTGGGCTGAGCTGGGAACAGAAAGCAGGCACAGTTGTGGAGAGCAGACCTTAAAAGAACTGCACACGTAGTAATCAAATACAAGCTCTGGGGAGGGCCCACGGAAAGAAACACAGGAACCCACTTTAGCCAGGGACCAGTTGGGCTCGGCTAGCAAGGTACAGAAGGATTTGACCTGCTCAGCTTCCTTGCCTGGAAATTGCACCTCTCTCCACCTTCATGTGAGGTGAGGCAGCAGGTAAAGTGCCTCTCAGAGCACTTGGATCACATGGGTACCACACACATGGCCTTTCTCTGCACTTCCAGCCCCGTGGATGGCCTGACTGGTATCTTCTGGGTACAACTGAGGCAGCCAGCTGGTGCTCCTTACATGTTACCAGAACAAATCCCATCCCCTGTCCCTGAGGAGGCCATCCATTCCTTATTGAAGCAATCCACTATCCCAGGGGCAGAGTTAATCAGCTCCAGGGAGCCAAGATAAGTTGAGACAGAAATGTTTTTGGAGAGCCCACAGAGACATGTGAGTGTATCATTTTATTTCCTGACTCCATTTCAACAATGGAGTAAATGGCTACATTTGTCATCCATTTCCCCGACAATTCTGACTTTCTCTTCTCCAAGTCTTAGTTCTCTCTTTCTGGGCCTTCAAGTTATGAGGGTCAGTCTCTGATGTGGGATAGGGATACAGCCACCCCTCCGAGGCAACTGGCAGCAAAACATGAGAGGAAAACGCAGAAAGGAGGAGCCAACCATGGGAGAACCACACTTCCAGAGCCCAAAGGTGCTCTTAGGAATAGTGGGCTGGATTCCAAATCTGGGACCCAAACACCAGGGTAGGTATTCAACAGGGAACTGTTTCAGGCACAGGGAAAGGAGAGCCAGGGAGGTAGCCAGTGGGGATGGGGAGGAAGCACCAGACTGAATGCCCAGACTGAAGTGTCTCTGGAGCACCACAACCACCCACAGAGGGCCTCTAGCCACTGCCCACAACCCCAGGCTTTCTTAGGGACAGGTCAGTCAGCCAGCACCCCCCCACTGGGCTGAGGGAAGCACCTGTATCAACTGGGTTTGGGCAACTTTCTCCAAAGCTCTTGGGGAAGGACTGGCTCCTTCCTGAGTGTGGTGATGTGGCTCTGAAGACAGACAAATGGGGGTCAGATCCTGATGCTATTACTGTGTGATCCTGGGCACATCATTTAACCTCTCTGGTGTAAGTTACATCTATGTTAACAGCCCTAGCCTCTGTGAGGATTAGACATAGTACAAGTAATGTGCGTGGCCCTTGGTAGGAACTTAAATAGAATAAGTCAGTATCATTACTATGCACTATTATTCTCACTGATGCAAATGCTTTAAAGGACAGAGCTGTAGACAGTGTCACCCCGCTGAAGCATGATGCCACAGCCTCCCATAGCCTGGGTGACCTTGCCCAGTCCAAGGCTCCCAGATGAAAGAAAGGATACAGCATGTCCAGGGGTGGCTGGGCGGAGGAGGTGCTCAGGTTCGAAAGGCCCTCTAAGGAGGCCTGCAGGGTCTGGGCTGTGCTGTAATCAGCCAGGAGGCCCATGCTCTGGACCTGAGGGAAGAAGGCAGGGAAGATAGGCCTTCTCAGCAGCCACTCCATACAGGCCCTCTCAACCCTCCACCCTCTGTACTCCTGACCTCCCACGGCTGCTGTGGCCAGAGCACCCATCCTCCGCAGAGAAGATGGCATGGACAGTCTAGGCTTACAGCAGCTACCCAGCATCCCCTTCCCACCCACCTGCAGGAAGAAGCCACGCAGAGCCTGGAGTGTGGTGTTCGACAGGGTAGAGAGGTCAGCCAAAGCTGCACCTTGCAGAACATGACCCACTTCCTCATGAGAGAGGACACTGCTGCTCTGGAACCGCACAAACTAGGCCAGGGAGAGAAGCCCCAAACACACAGTGATTTGGCATCTCCTTCATTCACAGATATTTCCGGTGTCCCTGCTGTGTTTGACACCAGGCTGGGGGCACAGATCTGAAGCCCAGAGAACCCTGCCTTCAGGAGCTCAGAGTTGGTGGGCAGAGGTGGGGCTGTGTCACAGAAGAGTGGGGTAAATGAGGCAGACTGTGAAACCCTGAGAGAGTTAGCCCTGCTGACCCCTTCAGTATCCTTCCCCTCACTGCTTGGCCCTGCACCTCACACTCATGGCCAAAAAGGACTATGTGTGGTTATCCAAACATACCACCATGTACTCTACTCATTTACCTGCTATTTTCACTTCACTACCTGGAATACTTTTCCTCCTCTTTGCCTATTAATCCTTCAAACCTCACCTAAAATGTTTCCTTCCTGCTGAATGTTTTCATTTCATTAAAGAAATAGAGGCATTAATTGAGTGCTTATTGCATCCTTATTCACCTCTCCCCTCTGGCTCTGGCAGAAGCAATTACAGTCAATCTTTGAACAACACGAGAGTGAACTGCACAGGTCCACTTATACACAGATTTTTTCGATAAATATAGTACAGTACTGTAAAAGTATTTTCTCTTTATGATTTTTTTAATAACATTTTCTTTTTCTAGCTTACTTTATTGTAAGAATACAGTATCTAGTACACATAACATACAAAATGTGTTAACTGACTTTATGTTATCAGTAAGGCTTTCAGTCAACAGTGGGCTATTAGTAGTTAGGTTTTGGGGGAGTCAAAAGTTAATATGCAGATTTTCAACTGTGAGAGGGTCAGCACAGTTGACCCTAACCCCCAAGTTATTCAGTGGTCAACTGTACTCTTCTCTGTGTTCCCACAACAACCACTGATTTATTCATTGATTCACTTCACTTTCATTCACAGGCTCACTGCTTTGTTGTTTATTCAATGGGCACTTACTGTGCGCCAAGCACTTAGCATATCTTCTACTATGCCACTAATAACATCATGTTTTAACTATTAGTTTCCTTGTCTATCTCCTTCTTTAGACTGAGGGACCCTTAGAAGGCAGAGCATTTGGCTCAGTGACATCTTTGGTCCCTAGCATAGGATCTGGATGTAGCAGACAAGCCCTGGCCAACGTTTCACGTGCTAATGAATTAGAAAGAGTATCTGGGTCTTTGCAGGGTGAGAAGATGTGGGCGTTTAGAGGAATTCTCTGAGTAGGCCTCTTATAAGGTGAAGGCCCACCCAGCCCCTCTACTTTCTACCCCTCTACCTGGCCTCTTCAGGACCACCCAGCTCATGACATTCTTCACACCACAGGACCATCCATTTTGCACTTACCAGGGTCATGAGCCTCAAGATCTCAGGTCTGAGGAAGGAACTGTCTCCAGCATCCAGGAGGGTAAACAGCAAAAACCGATTCCAGGGCTGGGAGACCACATGGAATGCTAAAGGAAACACCAGTCACCCTGGGTTGTTACTGCTGCTTTTCCAGAGGCCTTGGAGCATTGCTGAAGAGGATTTTCTCTTATTGGCTCAAAAAGGGGTTGCTCAGCTAGAGGCAGGGCATTGGACAAACTGACCACTGGAAGTTTCTTTCCTCCCTGGGCTTCTATCCACCTATGCTGCCTGGCTCAGGGAGACTATATCCCACTATTGTGGGAAGCAGGCAACAGGAAGGGCTCTGCCACTTCGGAGCTTTGTGACCTTGGTTGGGCAGGTTACTTGACCTCTTTGGACTGCAGGGTCCTCATCCATATAATGGACATCACAATGCCTTTGCATGTTATGAAAATAATTAAACAAAATGAGTATGAATCAAAAAACAGAGGTTGGGAGTCTGGGACAGTAAGGTGGCAGGGGCTGGCCACCCATATGGGAACATCAGAGAATGGGCAAGGTTTCTACCGATGTCTGGGCTCCGGGCATGCAGGTAGTCAAGCAAGGCTTCCAGGCAGCCAACACAGGCATAGGACAACAGAGGGTCCTTCTGCAAACAAATAAACAAACAAACAAAACCCCTTCATGTCAGGTTTTGCTACCAATGAGTGTTATTGCCAACCAAGAAAAAAAAATTTGGTTTTCAGAATAATTTGTATTTCCGAATTTCAGATTTGGGATTGTAACCCTGTAGATAATTAAGAAATGTTTGTTGCTTGGGGTGCCTGGGTGGCTCAGTAGTTAAGTGTCTGCCTTCGGCTCAGGTCATGATCCCAGGGTCCTGCAATCCAGCCCCGCACTGTGCTCCCTGCTCAGCTGAAATCCTGCTCCTCCCTCCCCCACTCCCCCTGCTTGTGTTCCCTCTCTCACTGTCTTTCTCTCTGTCAAATAAATAAAAAATCTTAAAAAAAAAATGTTTGTT